AGAAAGAATTATTCGTAATTTGGAAAAGCCGATTATTAAAATTCGTTTTTAATAGCATTTGCATTGAGCAACATTTGTTGCCAAAGAATGCTAAACAGCTATGTAAAATATCACTCCGCCTATATGACAGTGAATGTCGGAGAAATTTGATCAGAGATGAAGAAGAGACTTGAGGCTACGGAGATGTATTTCAACAGAAGGATGCTGTGAATCCCATGGACAGAACTTGCATGCAACGCGGTAAATAAATGGAAACACTTTTACTTAGAATCAGAGAGAGTTGATTTAGGATTCGTAATTAAGAAAAACGGCTTGCAAAATTTGGCACTCACAGGTTATATTGGAGGCAAGAGGGAAAGAGCGAGTTACCTACAAAACAAAAATGTATGAATGGTTGATAGAGCTACAAAGGATAGGAGATAGTGAAGAGCCATGTTCGTTAACGTCTTGAAATGGCACGGCATATAAAAGAAGAATTCGTCTTCCATTATTCTGACTTGTGTATTTCTTAAGAAAACGACGAATAACCTCCCCGAATGAGTTTGGGTAAATAGATGTAGCAAAGGAAATGGGAGGGTGACTAAAAATATTGCTAGAGGCTACAAAGGATAGGAAATTGTGGAGAGCAATGATCTCCCACGTCCTGACGGTACACAGTGCATAGAAGAATAAGACCTATATATATATATACGTTATTTTAGTCATCGTTTCTTATGTATGTGGGAGAGGGTTGTAATGAAATGTTCTCAACGTGGACTGGCATGACTTATTTCCTGTTAGTGCATTTTTACTCAACTGATTTTTAATACCTGTCCCTTCAGGAGATAGGCGGTCATGGCTCTTCTTTTCTTATCTATGAATCGTCATTACTTCTTGGGAAAAATAGCGGTGGGGGGGGGGTTCTGTTGTTTTCCCCAAAGTTGTAAATTAAGTTTCCATTCTCTTAGACTGGCTGTCACATCCAGTGAAGACAGCCCAATAAGCCGTTTTTTTTTAACCCATATCTACGAGAGGAAGAAATGGATTCTTAATTTCTCGAAGGTTTGCGAAAGTGAACGCAAAAACTCAGCCGGGATTTGAACTCGTCGTGCTTATTTCTCTTTCTAAGTCGCTAACAGTTTGGCTTTACGCACATAATCTCTTCCACTATATGCACATAATCTCTTCCATCTATATATAATACTAAAAGTATGTGATTGCGTGGTATGTCGTTCGTCCGGCGCATAATGATTTATGTTTCTTTCCACCTCTCTCTGTCCACCTCTCTCTCTTCCACTTCTCTCTATACACCTATCTGTGATTCCATGCAGGCTTGCGTGGTACGTTTGCCCGGCACATAAGGATTTAAGTTAATCTGATTTAACTAAGATTTAAAAATAAGAGTTGTTTATGCAGTAAGTACTTTTATTTTTAACTTTGTACAAACAATTTTTTTTTAATTAAAATTTTTTTTAAGTTAAAGACAGCCACAAAGAGATCCCGCTTTGCTGTCTCGCCCAGTTGTTTGTAGAGTCATTATTTATATTTTAGCTTTACATAAAGAAATAATATTTTAAATATATAAATATATTTTTTGGCATATTTAAAAAAAATATTTTCAAGGGAATATAAGTTAAAAATATTTTTTGGCATATTAAAAACATATTTTTAAGTTTATCTGATTTAAAAAAAATATTTTATGTGTATAGGATGTAAAAACACGAGCTGCTTATATAGTAAGTATTTTTATTTCAACATTTTCTAACAGACAATTTTTTTAAATGTTGAAATCAACTTCAGCGTTTTATAACCTGAACAGTCATTGACCCAACAGTAGTCTAGTCATTGAATAAAATGTACGCATTCTCGAATGTCTAGATTTGATAGCGGGTAATTGAAACCATTTACTGAAAACCGCGGATAAGAGGGGAACTTTGTAGACAAATAAAATAAACAACGAAAAAAATAAAACAATCAAGAACAGACACTAATTTGTAGCCTGTTGTTTGCGAGAAACAATTTCTTTTCATTTGAGTATGGTAATTATTAGTTTTTCTCTGAAAAGAAGACTAACGAATTTATTAATCTTTCTGGGAATTGTTGCAACACATTTCGCAGTTAATATGAATACTCACGCATCCCGCGAAAATGTAGAACAAGGAAATGGGCTCATCGCTCATTGGTCAAAAACAGAATGCAACACGCTGAGAAAATGTAGAACAAGGAACTGGGTTCATCGCTCATTGGTCAAAAACAGAATGAAGCACTGACAAAATGATGAACAAATAAGCAACGCAACATATAAGAGGTCACTTCTCATATATATATATATATATATATATATATATATATATATATATATATATCGTATCGTCAGTGTAGGATTGAGTTTAAAACCACTAGTTGCCTGGAGACAAAGAGGGTCCGCCCACAACTACAATGCTGTCATTTAATTTTCGTAACGAATAAAAAAATACATATGAAAATAAAGAGTACAATTAAAATGTGTAAAAAAAAATGTGTATTTCTTAGTAATTACAGTCACATTTATCATATATATTATTTGCCGTGGCACTGGGTGCCGCTAACTTTTGGCCTTGTGCCACACCTATGCGTAGCTTAGATGAGGTACAACGCACTATATTACTGTCAATAGATATCAAATGTAAATACAGAATTTTACAACTGAATATTTGTTAATATATTTTTAAATTTTAACTAAATGGTTGATATTTTAAAATAATTTACTGCCCAATTTACCCAGATAGTTCAAAGATAGTTCAATAGCACAAAAGGTCATTGCATTCAGTCCATTATATTAAGAGCAATCGTTTGTGTACACTAGATAATTCTGCGAATCTACCATCCAATTCATCTAACAATTCCTTTTCAATGGATAGCAACATGTATGATTCCAAATTTTCCCCAGACAGCATATTTTGTAATTTTGTCTTTATGGAAATGTCCACTCGCCTTGATTTGATCGATTGATATATTTTCTTCGGCTTATCAAATTTTTACAGGTTATTTACAGCCAGAAAATTGTAAGAAGTGTTTTGGACATAATACTGGTTTAATGATACAAGTCTTACTAATTAACCCATAGCTGGGGGAGAAAGGGTGGATTCATAACTTCCCCGAGGATATTTACGCGTAAGTGAATATAGCAAACCCCACTGGAATTAGAAATCTGCTCCCGATTAACAATTCCGAGCCGTTAGTCATTACATCACACGCACAAAACACATTCAAGATTACAGCACCTGGCATGCCCAAGCGGTCACCCATCTAAGTACCGACCAGGCTCGACGTTACTTAACTTCGGTGATTGTACGGGGGACCTGTGTTTGAACGTGATATGACCGTACTCTTCTTGGACTTGAGTTACTTATAGTGTACAGATGATTTTATAAATATCTTGTTTCTTTTTATTACTAAAACAAACGTCTGTGTTTGTTTCTTTATTGCATTTTATTTGGCAGAGGATGCTCACTCCATCAGGGACCCACTTGCCATTGGGGAGGTTGGCCAGTCCACCAGTGAGTATACCGACTGGCTGCTGCAATAAGAATAGGGCTCAACAGTTGTCTTTATATGAAAATTTAAATAATTCATCAATAGATATACATTAAGCTCAGGGTCTACTGAGCTGTTGTAATCTCGGCTCCCCTGTACGACCGTGAGACCTGCACCTCTACCGGAGAGACATCCGGAAACTTCAAAGATTCCATCAAATGAAATTTTGCCAAATCCTGCGGAACACTTGACAGAACCCGATCACGAAAATTGAAGTTCTCGTCCGCGCAAAGATGGAGAGCCCAGAAACCATTATGACTCGCCTTCGACTTCGACGTGCCGGAAACCTTGCACGAATGCCAGACATCCGCCTACCGAAACAAATCCTCATCTAATGTTTCGCATCTAGCAAGAGACCACGTAGATCTCCACGTCGTCAATTCAATGTTCAGCTCAAAAACATCTTGCTGAGGACAGAAATCCATCCGGTCAATTGGGAGACGGAAGCTACAGAAAGAACCAGCTGTAGAATAGGAGGTCTACGAAAACACAAGCTAACAAATAGAAGCGAGGAAAACAGCACAAAGAAAAGCCACAGCTCTCGATCCTCTGTACAATCCTACCCTACCATGCGGTCGCTGCGGACGTCTCTTCAGATCCCACTTCAGGACTCATTTCACACAGAAAGAAATATCGATGGGCACCCCAGTACTCGGCAATGAGTCCACCAACGACGGAGATAGATTGTTATATTTTGTAGAGGATTTTAGTTGAACCTTACGATAACTGGATATATTTGTTGAAAAAATATAATAAAAAAAAAGCCTGCAAAATAACAACGAAATTGTTCCAAGATGAAATGATTATTTTGACTCTTTTAACCAAGCCTAATTTCATGATTAACTAGTTAAATACAGTGGTCCACTCGTGAAAAGCACGAAAAGATTTCGCGGGAAATAATGTTTGCAGATTAGCCTTAATGAGACTTTCTTCAATGTAGGACATTTGTTAGAATTTTAAAATAATTATTTGTTTTGTCATCTTAGAAGGAGGTATTGCTCATAATAAGGGGAGGCAAGGTGGAGTAATTGATAGCGGCTCGGATTGGAGAATCGGAGAACCGAGGTCGAATTCCAGTCGAATCCATTACATTCACTTACGTGCTGATACACCTGGGAAAGGTATGAATCTTCTTCTTCTCCCATCAGCTATGGGTAAATTGTTGTTCATGATGACGGTCGTCTTTGAGTATAGAATCTAGAGGTTAGCAGTGAATATGTCGAAGACAGTAGGGAAGCGTAGTTCAGGTTAGCAGTGGATATCCCGGTAAAAGTAGCAGAGCGTAGTTCTTCCTTGTATTCCTCTTCGCCTGACAAGCTGGCACTGGACATTCGGGTAGGGTAAACAAAATGGCCGCCTTTATAGACGACGGATTGAATATTCTACGTCTTCTGATTGGTTAACCTTCTATTGGTGGACTATAAAGTGAGTCAAGTCATTTGGGCTAGCTCACTAGTAAACATACCCAAAAAACTGCAACATAACTAAACTTGGATGGCAACTGTTCTACCGCAGAAAGAAATGGCAACCTACTGCGGGAAAAAATCTGCCTCGTCAATTATGTATCGAAAGATACATGATCGCCTAAGTCGTACATAACTGATTGGCTGTTTGCTCATTATGCAAATACAGTGTAAAATCGATCACTGAATTTTTACAGAGTTATCAGGACTTGGTTGTTCTGCGTACGAATAAATACATTTTTTTTTTAACAAAAAATATTTCTTTTCAATAAAGAATATACGGATATATGCCTTTAAAATAAAGAACAAAAATTCACATGAATTAACAAACGTGTATATCTGTTTATTTTTCACTTAAGATAAATAATTACAATGATTCTTCCCCTGAACAAAGACAAAGAGCCACTCGGCTTACAGAGGAAGAGGCGATAGCGCCAAAAGATAGTGACAGCAAAGGAAAAGATTTTTAGAAGAAACCGGAAAACCAGTCATAAATAGTAAACAAAGAATAAACCTCTAAGCATTTTCAAAAGAGAGCGGAAGAGTGTGAACCGGGCAATAAGCGAACCTATCTACTCTTGAGAAAAAAATGTTAATAAGTAGTAAATAAAAAGACCAGAGTTTTAGGCGGAGACGTTAGTTGTATAGAGTTGAAGTAGATTTTAGAAGGAACCGGAAATCCAATACGAAGCTGGAATCAAAGGATAAACCTTTACTCCTGTTTAAAAGACCGGGGAGGAGTGTGAACTGAGCGACAGGTGAATCTATCTACTACTATGGAATTATTATGCCCCAATGTTTATTCATGTGCTTCTGTGAAAAAAAAAATGCCCCCAATTTTTTTTTAAAGTTAAAAAGAGTTGAAATAAATTAGAAAATAAAAAAAATAAAATGTATTTTTCTTGTTGAAATCCGAAGGTGTATTGGAATAGCGAAAGATGCCTTCTAAAATAATAAAATGCATATATCAACGAGGCAAGCAGAGTTTCAAACTTGACATTTGTAAGCAAGGGCTAAGTCCAGATAACTGTAAAAAGTCCTGAATCGATGTTACACTATATCGATATGATGAACAGGACCCCGCTTCTAAATCGATAAAACATCTGTATTTTTCTTTTCAAAATCCGAAGTCGTATTGGAATAGCGAAAGATGCCTTCCAAAAGTCAAGCAAGGAATTAAGAAACAGTAAAATTTTGTTAGAAACAAAGAAAAGAGTATTGGACTGTTACGTAATATCGCCGCACAGATGATGAAAAAACTTGAGGCGATAGAAATGTGGTTCTACAGAGGGATGCTGAGAATATTATGGATTGAAAATGTGAGAAGCGACAATGTTTTCAAGAAAATAAAAAGAACAAGGGGCTGTAAGCTTAGATGTGGGCTGATGTAATTGTTAATCAGAAATCCAACTTTAAATTCCTGTTGGGTTCGTTAAATTCACTTACCCGCAAATGCCCTTAGGGAATGAATGAATCAACGTCTTTTTATCCCAACAGTGGGCGAAGTAGTTAGATTTGTGGCACTAAATCATCTATATATATAAAACAGAGGATATTTTTGTGTCTGTCTGTCTGTTTGTGTGATACCTTTTCTCTCGAGATCCATCCAAATGATTTTGACCAAACTTGGCACATACATTGTTCAATGTGAGAGATAGGTTATTAACGTAAAAAATTGATAATTAAAAAAATCTATAATTGATAAGGCCGATCCAAAATCGATAAATTCAACCTTTTTTCCTCCGATTTCGTTCAAACTTGGTATGTAGGTTACTTACATCATGACGAGCTCAAAGATACTTCGTTTTTATTTCTACGCTACTGCGTGTAGCGAAAAATCGCGGTAAAACGAAAAATCGATTTCAATACAAGTCGATTTCAACACAAATAAAAAAAATCCCTCAATTTTCTAGTAACCTAATATAAACTTCACTCAATCGTAGTCAACAATAAGTTGATTAACAGTCATTTAACTTGATAATTGAGTCCACCCATATAGTGAAAGCCCGCGTAAATAGTGAAAAATGGCGATTTGTTCTTTCTCATTTTTCGTTGATCTTTCAACCAATTTTCATCAAACTTAACAATTGGTTTATAAATGTACCCTCTTTTACATCCCTGGTAGCACACGGACAAATTGAATTTCAAAAACTCCAAAACAATCGTGATCTGAAGTGGGTCTTCATGTTGCCTGTTTTACCTCTTCATGTCCTCAGCTAACTTCGATTGAATAAATGCAGACTACTTCTGTTATATCAGTAACTGAATTAATTCAAAATGTTTTTTAATGAAAGTACTTTAAAGTAATTGAAGAAAATAGACTCTATTACATCTAAACATTATGCTGTTTTTGCCCTATTGTAATTGAACGCGTTTTCTGATCGATAAGCTGGGTATGGCTGTTAGTTATTATCCTAAAAAAATTCTTACAATCTAGAAATACCGTCTGGATTTAGATAACCTGCAAAGGATTGATAAGCCGTAAAAAGCGAATCAACCAATCATTTTTACAGGCTCAAACTGAAAACAATATATCATTGAACTATTATCATCTCCCCTTCTTAAAACAAAATTAGTAAAATCTAAAATAATTTTTTTCTGCAAAGGGTTGATAAACCGTATAAAACGAACCAGTCAGTCAAATTGTGGGGATATCATTTGTGTGAGGATGGATACTTTTGTTTGTTTGTAAGTGGTGTAAGATGTTTGGATGCGGTGCTTTTAATTGGCTTAATTTAAACTTATTTCGATTTAAATTATACTTTTATTAGCAGCCATGATTTTATAAATGTAGGACTAGTACAGTGGTGGACCGTCTTCTTGAATAAAATATATATTTGTTATGTAGTGGTTTCACAGTGGAGGCTTGTGTTTGTACTAAGTCGATCCTAAAATAGGTTCGACGTACAAAACGTTAGGAACTTGATATAACAGTTAATAATGCAGTAATCTAATTGTGGTGGCTGATACTTTAATATCCGACTAACGGTCATCCAACATCGACTGACTGACCAACTCACTGCCGACCCAGCGACTGCTGCTACCACTCCTACTTATTATAGGTGGGAGAGTCTATTAACTATAGAATAGGTGTGTTCCAGTATAATGGTAATGGTAAACGTGAGATTAACCGTTTCCTTATAAGGAAACATTCGGCATTCATTGATCGAACAGTTAGCATTATTGTCGGTTGAAATTTATAAAATTTTTCTCTTAAAATATTTTTGCGAGAAAATAGGTTTCTCAAGTCCAGCATTGAAGAAGGCTTCGTTTCTAGCCTTTAGTTTGTAATATCATGGAAAGACAACACGTTTATTATGTCATTATCTTCTCTTCGAGTTATATATGCTATCCATTGTAGTTGTTACTGCTGTTGGTAGTCCTCCAGTGATATGGCTTCTTATATCTGGTATAGTTCTTTGTGTTTTTATAGCGTCAGGTCGCGAGATGCGGTGAAGAATGATCCTCATTAAGAACTACATGGTTCACTAAGGTTCGAAAACTCAAGACATGTAATGTCGACGTTCTCAATCTTCACAGGGTAGCAAAGTACAATAGCAAGTTCCGAGTTTATATATTAGACTTTCTTTGATTGGCTAGGGATCATGCTGATAGGCCAATCGAAGGATAGAAAGAGCATTTTGACTTTGTTTGATTGGTTAGTGTTCATACTGATAGGCCAATAAGAAGACAGGAAGAGAGATTGTTTGATTGGTTAGGGGTGATAATGATAGGCCAATCGGAGGACAGAAAGAGAGAGTTAGTATCTTTTGATTGGTTAGTAGTCATATTCATAGGCCAATCGGAGGATACGGAAAATGCTACAATATTTTGTTTGGTACTTATTAGTGTTTTTTGCTGGCGGTGTCTGTTGTGTATTCATGTCACAAATATTTCTTCTCTTTATGCGCGATATGGTGACGGCTTTTGATAAAAGTAGGGGATAAACTTGAAGGTCGGAAGTTAGGAATAACTTCAAGTTAGGTAACCCAGTAAAGCCAGGTAATCTTTAATTAAAGGTGTTACCAAGTATCTAGATGGGACCCACAAGCTACACTGGACACCTAATCCTTCAAACTAAAAAAGAATCCCTCTCAACACACGATTATGACGATCTCTCACTACGCGCCATCACTTGGCTAACTAACAAGCAAATCTGTAGTATTGAACAGGATATTTACTGTAGTCAGTTTTAATTCAGTTCAATATATATATATATTAACACTTCCAGACATGCCTTGTTTAGCACCATGGAGCGTTGCAGCCTCCAAAATGCACCAGGTTCACTTTCAGGGCGCAGCTTCTTCCAGTCGAAGGCTTGTGGCTTAATACCAGGAAATAATTCTTTGGCCCTATGGTTATCCACGAAATAGATCCGTGAGACGAGATTGTAGCAGTCGTCAAATTTTATTCTGTAGGCGAGCGAGAATAAGTGAGGCGTACAGTTTAACCAGTGTGTGTCATCTTTTTCTCGTGCCGGGGGAGTGGTCATCTGGCATTTAGGCTGCTAGGGATAACTGTCTTATAGAGAACAATCTTCTATGTCCTGTCAGCTTTTGTCTAAAACGGTAATTATTAAAAAAAACAAAACGTTCTTAGCTTGCTCCACTCTTTGTCAGTGTCGTTTGACCTGTTTCTTGTGATGTCCGCTTCACAGCCGACCTCCTTTGTCTGGGTCGTTTGGCCTGTGTCGTGTGAGATCTTCTCAACTCAGCTGATCTTTTTTGTCAAGACGGTAATTGCAGATGTCTCAATCAGAGATTTCAAGAGACAATAGATGCTTTGTATCAGAAAATGCAAACAAATGATGTGCTGTGCCATTGATGAGAATAAAAATATAATTGTGGTCCCTGTACAGTATGGAAATAAATATACGCAAGATGTGAGAAGTAAACATAGCTATGATTATTCACATATTCTATGATAACCAGGAATTTGACCCACATATTTGTTTGCTCCATTAACAACAGTTAATGTTGCTAACTTCAGATGCCGTATTCTACTCACTTTCATTTAATAGGAGTATAGACGTTCACACTCCTCCCCAGAACAGAAGTAGAGGCTTATCTCTTGTTTCCTGATTAGGATTGGGTTTCCAGTTCCTTCTAAAGTCTACTTCAACTCTATACTTCTAACATCTCCACTTATTTAAAAAAAAAATTAATATTTCTTTTTTCCCATTAGGAGTAGATAGGTTTGCCTTTTGTTCGGTTCGTATTCCTTCCTGACCATTTGAACAGGAGTAGAGGTTTATCCCTTGTTTCCTGATTAGGAATGAGTTTCCGGTTGCTTCTAAAGCCGTTTTATTCTCTTTCACTACCAGTAGCCCCTTGCACCTTATTGGGCATTATTGCCTTGACTGGAGTGAATTGATTAAAACAAAATCTTGATGTCCTAATATTTACTTTGTTTCTCGAACGTTTTCAAAGGTGTTTTTGTCGCCATGGGCAGCGGCATCTATTAGAAGACATGTTATTATTAATTTCCTCTAAGTAATATCCACCTTAATATTAGTGTTTAAGATTATTGTTTTTATTTCCTCTTCGCTCTCCTACATCATCACCATCATCATCATCATCTTTATCTTCTAGACTTTCCTATTCTATTCGTCTCATCCTGGGTATGACGATAAACTACATCCGGCAGCTAGGCCTCTGATAGGGAGATTGGAGATTTTGAGTTCCTACGTTCATACTGTCGTCGGGTGGTAGCATCTGTTAAGGTAACAGCTATGGGCAAATTGTGAACTCCGCAAACAAAAATCAACAGTAATCAATTTTTATAGCAAAATAACCAACAGTACATTTTTATAGTAAAATTACCAGCAATAAATTTTCTTATATAAAGATATGCATTTTGCAGTGAAATTGCCAACAATACATTTTATGATCTACACATTTCATACCAAAAAAAAAAAAAAACTTATCTTTTTACCCTGAAAGTATAAAATTATATACAAAATATTTTGATTTCGACATAAAATAATCCATAGAGGTTAATATGCCGCTAAATAAAATGACTCAATCTATATTATTCCATTCATCTTCATTGCATGTTTAATCTCTTTCTTCGTCTTCATCCTTCTTTTCTTTTTTTCTTTATTTGCTTTCTTTTCTTTTTTTTTCTCGATATTTATCATTTTTGCCCTCTTCTTTATTCAACTGTTTGCTTTTCTCCAAATAGAAGTTTTCGCATGGAAAGTGTATTTGTTTCTTTTCTCTGTTTCTTCTCTTTCAATCAGAACGATGACGACAACAACAGCGACAGCGCCGGCTTCTTCTTCTTCTTCTTCTTCTTCATTGTCGTCGTTGTTGTCTTCTTCTTCTTCGATGCAGTCGTTGTCTTCTTCGTCGTCGTCTACTTCTTCTTGTCGTGGTTCTCGTTATCGCTTTCTTCTTTTTCGTTATTGTCTTCTTCTTCTTCGTCGTCGTCGCCGTCGTCTTCTTCGTCGTCGTAATCGTCTTCTTCTTGTTGTAGTCGTCGTCATCGTCTTCTTCTTCTTCTTCTTCTTTGTCTTCTTCTTCTTCTTTGTCTTCTTCTTCTTCTTCTTCTTCATTGTCTTCTTCGTCGTCGTCATCATCTTCTTCTTTGTCATCGTCTCCTTTTCTTTTTCTTCTTTGTCATCGTCTCCGTCTTCTTTTTCTTCTTTGTCATCATCTCCTTCTTCTTTGTCGCCGTCTTCTTCTTCTTCTTCTTCTTCTTCATTGTCTTCTTCTTCGTCGTCGTAATTGTCTTCTTCGTTGTCATTTTCTTGTTGTAGTCGTCGTCATCGTCTTCTTCTTTGTCATCGTCTCCTTCTTCTTTGTTGCCGTTGTCTTCTTCTTCTTCTTCTTCATTGTCTTCTTCTTCGTCGTCGTCATCGTCTTCTTCTTTGTCATCGTCTCCTTCTTCTTCTTCTTTGTCATCGTCTCCTTCTTCTTTGTCGCCGTCTTCTCCTTCTTCTTCTTCTTCTGCTTCATTGTCTTCTTCTTCGTCGTCGTAATCGTCTTCTTCGTTATCGTCTTCTTGCTGTAGTTGTCGTCATCGTCTTCTTCTTTGTGATCGTCTTCTTCTTCTTCTTCTTCTTCGTCGTCGTCGTCTACTACTATCTTTTTTCTTATCCTGTTATTATCTGCGTTTATTTCTCACCTTGTTGTTTTGCTGTTTTCGTTCTTGTTGCTTCCAATTTCTTTTTCTTTTCACTTCATCAACTTCAAGAACACCATTCCCATGTTCGTTTCCTTGTACCACAACACCAGAGGCCTAAAGTCGTCACCATTATCACTAGCATTCTGATTACCGTTGTTTTCTCCACCCCTCCCTATCAAAATTAGCCTGGGAGATTCTATTTGTAACGCTGTTTTCTTCTTTCTTGCCCATCTCTCTCGTTATCGTTTTCACTAAAATCCTTTTTCATTTTCTCTTATATTTAGTGTACTCGAGGTGAAGCCTGTAGACAGGGAGAATTACAGAACCCGGTCGGCAGGCGGGAATGTTGCCAAGGAAAGCCATAGAGACAATCTCAGCGACTTCAACCTTCTGACCTCCTCCTCTGCACGACACTGACATGATTGAACGAGAGCGGCTGGCCACCTACCGATTTTCACTTAGCCCATCCCCTACAAGAATAGGCTCCAAACAAGAGAAAGTAAAATGTCTGAATGGAATCGAGGCGATAACAGTTTCTATTAGTGTGAAAACAATTCTTTGGAGACCAAGAGGCAACAATCAGGCCTAGTGAAATATATGAGAACTACTTTTCACTTTCTCTCTAAATATATCTCGCATAATTTCTGATAACATTTTCTGTTAGCAACAAACAATTCTTTTGAGATCAAGAAGGAACTGACACGCGCCGAGAATATTTCAGTTCGCCCAAATACTTATTCAATTTCTCTACGTCTTATAGGTAAAAGGACGAAACAGCATTAATTTTGTTTTACAGTTCACTCTATACAAGGTTCGAGAGCTACTCGAGGTAGAGGGTTACATTATTAAATTAGTCAAAATTAGAAAATCGGGAAAAATGCTTCATCTAAAGTCTTCAAGAATATGGATTCATAGGCTTCAACAAATAAGGCTCAATACAAACTGTCTCGGATGAATCAATAAAATCTATCGAATCATTTACACCCTATACAAGGTTCGGGAGCTACTCGAGGTAGAGGGTTACGGAGTACGAGACACAGTTTATACGGATAGGTGGATAGGATAACGATTAACTCTAGACATGAACAGGTCCCCGCTTCTAAATCGATAAAACATCTGTATTTTTCTTTTCAAAATCCGAAGTCGTATTGGAATAGCGAAAGATTCCTTCCAAAAGTCAAGCAAGGAATTAAGAAACAGGAAAATTTCGTTAGAAACAAAGAAAAGAGTATCGGACTGTTACGTAATATCTCCGAACAGATGATGAAAAAACTTGAGGCGATAGAAATGTGGTTCTACAGAGGGATGCTGAGAATATCATGGATTGAACACGTGAGAAGTGACAATGTTTTCAAGAAAATAAAAAGAACAAGGGGCTTAGATGTGGGCTGATGTAATTGTTAATCAGAAAACCAACTTCCAGGTTAAGATTGTAGTGTTCGGGAAAACATCCTCTTGGGAGTCGGTTCCACAGAGCAGTGGTTCACGGGAAGAGTCTGTTCGAGTGGAACTGAATTCTCACCAATGGAATACTGAGGGAATGGTGATGGTTTCCTACAGTGTGAGTGGCATGGCGGGTCCTAGCGGTGAAGGTTAGTTTCCGATGGAAGTAACGATAGATCAGTGAGAGAGGAGTTGCAGGGTGGAAGATGATTTATCACCCACAAGGATTAAGAATGTAATGATTGGGGAAAACATCCCCTTGGGAGACGGTTTCACAGAGCACTGGTTTACCGGAAGAAAATACTCGAGTGGAACTTAGTTCTCACCAATGGAATACGAAGGGTGGTTCGCCTTTATGTGTGTGTCATAGCGGGTCTTAGCCGTAAAGGTTAGAATTGGTAGAACTAAGGAATGTAGTTTGTCTGAGCACTTTCGATGGGAATAGCAATAGAGTAGTAAGAGGCTTGTGATATTTTGTATGTGAGAATGGGGGTTGTAGAGGGGAAAATAATTTGTCACCGGCAAGAACGAGGAGACTGGAAAGCGAGGACTGGGCAGCTTTTGCCCATATGTATTAAAGTTACAGCAACTGCCGTCTGTCTAACTCTCTGCATTAGCAGGGAGGAACCCGGACGAAGCTTTGCCGAAGGGCAAGGTTTCGTTCGGGGAGGTTGACAGCTCTCGGGCCCGCCTAGGCGGGTTCGAAGGCTATATTTTGGGCCGGGCCTACGGGCTCGGATGACCCACTTTAAACTCGGCCTTGTGCCACATGCTACCCCACGTGGGGGGGAGGGACAGCTAAATATAGCTGCCCATATGTGGCAGCATCACCCCATACTAGAATAGTTAAATAAAACATCTTAGAAACCAATGTCCTTATTGTGCAAGAAGTTTAACCTTCTAGTGCGTGCATTTTAAAAGTTTTTATTTTTTATTTTTTAAAGATTTTTGTTTTTGATTCTGTAGCTGCAGGTTACGGTATTCAATAATGGACGGTCCTCGTTAGCAACTAAGGGTTCATTAACGTTTAGAAAACTCAAGACTTGTTATGTCGATGTTTTCAATCTTCACCGGGTAGCAAAGTACAAAAGGAAATTCAGAGCTGAGACATTAGACTTTCTTTGATTAGTTATTAATTATCAGTATTGCACTAACAAAATTTCGCTATGATGTGCCGTTATTTCTGTGCTATGGCAACAAACTGAAAACATGCGAAACAATTTATTATGCTGATATTACTACATAAGTTGCCTTAATTATTTTTTCATATGATATCCCTTCATTATTAATTTTGAGCAGTTTATGTTTCATCTTAACATTTTTTTTGTGTTTTATTGCAGTAATCTGGTTCTTTTACAAAATCAAACAAAAATAGCATGAATGATAAATTAGTCAAAATTAGAAAAGCGGGAAAAATGCTTCATCTAAAGTTTTCAAAAATATGGATTCATAGGCTTCAACAAATAAGGCTCAATACAAACTGTCTCGGATGAATCAATAAAATCTATCGAATCATTTACATACCTAAGAAGCGAAATACGAACCACAGAGAACAATAAAGGTGGCACTGAACCAATTCTTGCTTCTAGCAAGATTTCAATTCGCACTTCCATTGGGATAGGTCAAAATTTATGTGTGACATTTTAAGCATTTCAGACAAGGGATTGTCAATAGAGCAAAACAATAAATTAACACAATTAATTCTGGGTGCAATTATTCTATGACCATCGAATTTGTTTTGATCTTATTTGCTCTTAAAAACAATAGAGAAATTAACTCTGATTGAAATGGTTCTCTGCACGGTGAAAATAAACATTGAAATATTGACTAAATCTAGTTTTATGACTGAATAATAATTACATGAATGCAGAATATATCATCCTCTCTTTTACAGAATCTTTTTTTGTTTGACGAAGACATTTCATTAGTCTTTTACCAAACTTATATATATATATATATATATATATATATATATATATATATTTGTTATGAGACCTTACCCATAATAACATAATGGACTATTCCATACATAATAAATACTGCGCCTCAAGAGGAAGCAGAGAGTTCAGTCTGAAGTCTGGAGTGAAGTCCGTCAGAAGTCTGTCAGTCAGTCAGAGCGAGCGAGTCAGTCAGTCATTCAGTCAAGTCAGAGGCAGTCCGAAACAGAGTCGCGTTCAGACAATTACTACAAGACATTGGAATAGTGATACTGGTCGAGACTAACTTGTTCTCCCTACTAAATCTGATTGTTCGTACTAACACTTCCCACTTCTCTGTATATATTCCTGTTTGTAATATATCTGTGTTATATCTGTGTTCGAGTTCTGCTTTATTGGTTCTACTTTGGACTATCACCGTGGTACAAGGAACCGGACCATAACATATATATATATTTTTTTTCTTCAAACATATTTGGCTGAATGATATCGACAGTTTCTATTCAATTTTTTATTAACTTTTTCAAATTTCTGAATTTTATATAATCGGGAATTTGCCAAAGTTCATTTTTCTTTTTTGTTTTTCTTTTTCGAGTACTTTCGAATGTTGCTACATCTGTTTTCAAGGATTGTGTCTTGTGTATGTTTGCGCAACTGTTTTTTTGCTAAATTCCGGCGTTCCTCGTTTACATGAACTAATTTCAAATGACTGAAAGTCAAACTGAATTTTTATGTGTATTTTATTTTTTGTTTCATACACATCTCACCATACGGTCCGTTATTGAGAAAGATACCTTCATTAATTTAATACGAGAGAATTTGAAAGATTGTCTAAAGGTAAATAAATCTGTTTTGTGTTCGTAGATGCAGGTTTTAGATCACGTGATGTCTCTGCTACGTAAATATTTTGCATTGTAGACAATTTATTTGATAGATACCGGCCATTTGATTTCGTGTTGGATTAATTTTTCTTCCTAATTATATGCCCGATTGTCGTATTACAGAAGAACAAATCTGGTCATAACTTTGATTTTACTAATGCCACTAATTAAAAAAGAACACAATTCTTTAAGGAGAAAATATTTTGAAAGCTTAATAATAACATTATTACCAACTATAAAAACCAGCCTAAACTATTACAGCGCCATTCATTTTTTGAATCCATTCTTAAATAATCTAACTTATGTTTATGTAATACAGATCATATATATATATATATATATATCAAGTATGATGTGCACTTCAATTTACATTACATGAATCATTCATACAAAAACAGATATAGAATATAATGATTTAAATGGCGAGAATACATCTTCGCAAACAATTTTAATAAAGTACACGAACCCCGGACCTGTATATGAATGATATGATCCCTGTTTATAAATTCCAGGTGCATGAGGTCTTTTTTAATTTTTTACAAGCTTTCGTCTGTTCCTACAGACAACTTCAGGTATAGGAATAGATTTGTTTTTCACTTCTCGGTAATAACAGGACAACGAAAATAAAAAAAAAAAGATCATATCATTCATCTGGAGCCGATATTTTTTATTATAAATATGATCAATTCTTGTTCGCTAACTAGTCTTTCAGTCAACCTTTGACCAGGGTGTTTGTTCGTTCGTTAGTTGTACAAACAAAACTGAAATTCTCTCATTTAATTAATTACATCTTTCGCATACTTAGCGATATTGACAAATAAAAGGAAAACGTACAGGCTAAGTTTGTTTAGGAGCGTCACCAGCTTTCTCTAACTGCTGTAATTTATGCACACAGATAAAACAACGCAAATCCATGCCACATACATCCTAAAATAGATAAGCGCTTTCCGTTTTTGCTATGCTAACATAATTGATTCGGTTGTACTGTAAAAACACGATACACAAAATAATCTATGTGAAGTTGTTCGCATAGAATCTTTGTAATTCATTTCTTTCAATCTGAAAGAAAAATAATACGCAAATAATAAACAAAATTATTGAAATTTGTAGAGCTGTATTTGAAGAATCACTTATTTATTAGCTTAAGCACGCACAAACCGCTATGTATGTATGTATATATATATATTTGTATATTTAGGCAGCAATCCTTCCTTTATGCATGTTTCATTAAAAACGACAGACAAGGTACTACAGTTGAGCTTTTTATTTAATTTTTCTTGTGTTCTGACAAGAGCTTTCTTTTCTGGACAAAAAGTGTGTAAGAACTGTCCGAATGTTCTGTGTTTCCAAGCGCTTTCAGCTATACCTTTAGCCATTATCAAGGATGGTTCAATTATCAGCTTAGTAGAGTGTGTTCTATGTATGTTCAGTGTGTAGTAGTGATGTTTTAGTTTCCGAATACGGTTAGCACATTGTGGCTTTGTTCATAGTTGATATTGTTAAGAGTTGGCTTTTCTTTTTTATTATTAGAGCTTCCATTATTTTTAGTCTTTTTTTTTTTGCAAGTGGATGCAGTTAATATATTAGTGTTTTCTACTAGTATGTTCCTAATAGTGTCAGGTAAATCTGAGTGTGTGTTTTAAATGTGTTCTGATGGAACTGTGATCAGATAGGTGTAATGTAAGACGTCTGGATAAACATGTAGTTGTGTAGCCGATGTAATTATTTATGAGTCCGGTTTTTAATGAAACATATATATATATATATATATATATATATATATATATATATATATATATATATATCCAGGTAAAATGAGAACAAATGGAGTATAATTCCACTGTACGTAACATTTAAATTAAAAGAGAACTCTTTACCTATAAGGCTACCGTCAGGCACAACGAACAGATTAAATTTTATTTCGGATCTACCGCTAATAATTGAAAAAAAAAAAAGCATTTCTACAATCAGAAAATGACCCTTAGACACAAATATATGCAAACGCCACAGCACTCTCTAAGTTTAACTGGAGTATCAAAACAGATCCCTACACACCTAAACTGGGAATTCGTAGCCCAAACCAAACCATTTTCCGGTAGGGAGTGGGAGAGCGTTGCAACCTATATCTATTAGAAAAAAATTAATCCTCAAAAATGTTAGCAATGTAAGCCTACTTAATGAGCGGGACGAAATCATGAGCGCCTGTAGCTTTAGGTTTCATACCCGATTATCTCCCTTTAACCTGGCAAGCGTTACGATATCAGTTTTAAATTTTCTATTTTTTCCTTTATTTATTTATTTTTAATTTTTTCCTTTTTTTAAAAAACGAACCCTAACTGCATCTCATTTCCTGCACTTTTTGTACTATTTTATATTTGGTCTATGAAGCAGCGTTCTTCACATGTGACATGTGTGTATATTTATAAAAACACAAGACATACTTTGTAAATATACTTTGTGCCCGATGAGCTGGAAAACCTTAGAAACTTAACTCGCATATCAAAACGTAGGTATATGTATATGCATATTTATCAGTATATATATATATATATATATATATATATATATTAAGACATTTTATGTTTAGACATTCTTTTTATAGATACAAATATTTAAGTAAATGCTCTGTTTATAATAAACAGTATAAACAACATTTATCATAAATATTTGTATCTATAAAAATAATGTATAAACATAAGATGTCTTAAAATAATTGTTGGACTTTGTCCATTTCATAATGTGTGACGTCAATTTTTTATATTTGATACGCCATGAGCAGATATGAATGTACGTGAGAGATTCATAGAAGATTGAAGTTCAAATGCAGTAAATTCGACCTTGCGAACCGAACGCGCCTCTGTGGCCAAATCGGTAAAGGCACGTGAAGCTAAATGACAGTTCCGTATAGGATACAAGTTCGAATATAAAACTGTCTTAAAACAATTGTCGGACTTTTTGCATTTCATAATATATATATAGTTTATGATATCCTTTTTAATTTCAAATATATGAAAATTGCTATGGATTGTAAGAAAATGCTGATATCATAAGTTATTAAGCAATGATGCATAAACGTTGGAAATTTCGAAAAATGTCGACAAAGTCCAAAGAAGAGTAAAAAATAAATTGACGCCATTGTCAAGATAAGATCAAGGAATATGCATCTTTAATCATGTTACAAAATTGCGATTTTAAAATTAAAATGCTTAATGGAATGGCACTTAACCTCGGCTGATATTAATAAACTAGAAAATTTGTGACCCATTTTTATGGGAAAGATGAATAAGTATGGAAAATATTCAAGCAAAAAAAAAAAGATCCCTGGGAAGGTCAATACAGTGGAAAAAAATTCGTCCGTGACTGAAAGCCTAATGCAAGGTTACAGCGATTAATGGAAGTTTTGCTAATATATAAAATAATGAAATAATAATTTATTCATCTATACTGTATATTCTGCTAAAGCGATCGATAATTGCGTAACCTATATATTTTAGATTTATTTTTAATGGAAAATTAGTGTTGCACAAAGGGCCTTTGCATATTAAAACCGCCACCCAAAATCTTTGAGAAAATGTTTTTGAATAATGATGGTT